GCGTCGTTGTGCCCAGTGTTTCCTGGTGAAGAAGGGTCCTTGTGCTACGCCCTTTGAGGCTGGATGCTCGGTCCTCCGGTACCGGTTGAAGCTGAAGGGAATGTTTCGTCTTCCTGTTGAGCGCAGTCCCGGAAGAACACACACACGCACAGATGACGCCCCAGGACGTTGTCAGCCGCGCGAGTCCTTCGTTGAACGAAAGGAAACTGCAAAGGGCTGAAGGTCTGTTGCCCGGCTACAGAGCTACGCGGTGTTCAAAGACGCCGTGGTTCTGAGAGTGAACTGAAGAACTTAAAAAAAGAAACCCGATTTGTTCATTCCCTTGCTGTGTAACAAAAAGCTTCCGAAAGTGTGTCGTACCAGTCAGCACACGTGTCTGCAAGGAAGTGACAGCCAACGTGTTTCTCAGCTTCTCAAGGGACACGTCTCATTGGAATTATAATTAATAAACCAATGCCTACTTCGTGCAAAGCACATTTCATTACATCGCCGTTTGATGGCGTTTAGGAGGTGTTTTGCTGTTTATTCTGAAACCAGTCTGTGTGTGCAGTACCATTGCCACCTCACGACGTTTCGAAACCACTTCACGAGGCAATGTGCAGTCACTCAGTAACCTCCACTCCCTCTACAGATTCGTGACACTTGTGTGTGTCCTGTTACCTCGCAGAAGGTATCCAGCCGGCTCGGTGACGCTTTGACCCGCGCGGGGGGCCGTGGTACCCTCGCGGAACTGCCTCGAACATGTTGGTTGGTGAGGGAAGTAACGTTTCTCCGCCCGGAGGGTGGCCTGTGGCTCGCCGCCGGTAATCGACTGCTTGAACCAAAACTTGCGAACAATCCAGGTTCGCGACTGAGACACGCGTCCTTGTGTGCGTGAGTAAGCAGAACAAGTGCTAATAGCTCTCAAGGAAGTGAGTTGCATTCCGTGCCGATAGCTCGTGCTGTTGTATGGTACATGGATGGCCTCGTTTGACACTCCTCCATGTCTCTGTGAGCGCTGACCGCTAGAACATCTGGATGGCAGGTTTCGGGTTGGGGGTGGTATCACTAGAACCCAGCGGTCACCCCCCGTCCGAGGTATCGTTTCTGTTGCCCAGTTAATTTGGCAAAGTGCAGACTGGTTTCTCGGAGATTCAGTTTGTAAACCAAAAACTGTTTTGTTATGTGTTTTCTCTGTTGAACTGGATTGAACTGGATTATCGTGACGTGGGGCTTCCGTGGCGCAGTGACGAACTTTCGAGGTGTCACGGGTTTTGAGCGACTGTCCCGGATGAAGATCTTCTACAAAGGAAGTTGGTTCATTGATTGAGTACGTTTCAGACTGCCCAGGAACGTTACTTCGCTGACCAAGACGTCGTTTAGAAGTTGATATTGAAATGGATCTCGAAGAAATATGTTGGGAAAACGTGAACGTCGTTGAATTAGGTTTCTATTTTTTATAACTATGGGAATTTCTCGAGGAGCTGATTTATTACCCCACTGTTAATAGCGGTCAGAAAAGCATTAGCCATGATGTTGGAAATCGAAGTCATGCCTCGCGAATGCTAGTTGGAACTTGATGGCGGCTCGGGGAACACGAGATAACTGTTTCGAGGCCCTCATTTGTCTGTCCTTATACCAGGAATATTGATTAACATGGCCGTTTGCTGGAGGTCAAACTGCATAATCATGGCGGAGTCGCTCTGTCTCTCTCTCTCTGTCAGTGTAATTATCATTTATTTCGGTACATTTGCCGCGTGGTTCGCTGTGAACAGTTTTGCATATACACAAATTGGCCACGAAGGTAACCTGACTGGATTGTGTTTGTTCTGCTGACCGCTGCGATGGTGCTGCTCGTACCATGGATTGTGTTGAGGTTTATTCCGACAGATGGGACTTTAATAAGTTTGCGTCATCAGTGTGCAGTGCCATTTTGTTTCCGTCTTCTTTTTATCCGTACAAAATGGTTGCTCCGTTATCAAGACGTTTCATATATAATTTTCTCATACAATCTCTTCATTATAAAACGTGACCAATACAAAACAGATTTGTTGTGAACTTTATTTCTCTCTTATTGTACCTGCTGTGTACACAAAAAGGTATAAATATAATACTCGGCGCCATTATGCTTCTGGAATTCTAGATGTCCGTGGTTCAGTTGTCTTAGGTAACTGGATTTCTCTTGGTCTCCTCCAGGAAGCGCTCATGGACGATGAAGATTTCTACCGGGTGAATGATTGAGTAATGCATTACGGCATGCGAAATTAATTAAGAATTAGCTACCATTTTCAGTTTATTTTGCCATCACTGCTGTTTGGTTTGGCTACGCTTTGCAATGAGACAGTATTACTGATGATGATGGTTGAAGTACGGCGCTGATACCGCGGATCGTTTCTCGGTCACTCCGTTTGCACTGTCTGTCTTCATTAGTTTCTCGGAAGACAAATATGCGTTCTTATGATTGAGTCTTATCTCTTTAACGAGTTCTGCCTGTCGATCGATGGATCGATGGATCGAGTTTCGAGGAAGTGAAGAAGGCGCTCTGTACTGGTCGCATGTTCTCATGACCACGGAGGCCGGAAGGAGGGAGACAGCGACATGACTAGTCGGAATTAGGCAAATTAGAATACCGCAGTGGTAGAGTGCAGCTCCGTCCTTTATTTCTAACAGCCTTTAGCATGCCGCTTAGCCAAGTCCGAGGTCGACCTCATTTCAACATATCGATTGCATAATAGTCTGTAGTCTACTTGGTACAGGATCTTGAGAAGGTGAGGCGCGTCCTACTATCCCGGAAGCCGAAGACGTTCTACTCTTTTACTATTATTGTCTGTCTCTTCCATGAGGGCTTCAAAAATGTTGTGTTTATTTGATTTCGAGCTTACTCAAAGCCTGACGGGTGATTTCCCCTATTTCTCCATTTACGTGTGCGCAGATTTTTCTGCAGGTAACAAACAAACTCCGTGGAGCAGCCCAGCACCGGTTCCTGTCCTGAGCCACATGATTCCAATAAACACCCTTAAGTAATGTCCGTTCTGATATTATCCTCGCATGTGTGTTAAGCTCGTCCGAGCGGCCTTACCACTTCAAGCTCTCCGGCAGAATTCTGAAGGCGTTTCTCGTGCCCGTCATTCGCGCTACATGTCCTGCCAATCTCACCCTTCTTGATTTAATAATTGGTGACGCGCGGGCCTGCAGAAATCCCCGGCTCTCGGTTGCCATGGTGAGTGTAGTTTCTGTAATAGCGCGTAGGATGATTATCTGTGTGCTGTTGAGTTGTGTAATTTTAGAATTCGCGCCATGTAGTTCGGATTCCATCGTGCAGATGACAGCGTCAGCGTCGACGTATATTGTACGTGGACGTGATTTCCACTCCTCATATGTAGGCCATGTTCTGGGTGTGGCTCCTAAATCTATGTGGAGTTTGTGCTCGTCTGGCGAAGGGTAGAAATCAGGAAGCTCCAAGTTGTTGCAACATTTTTCATCCCTCTTGGGTCCAAAAAACTGCCGTCAGCGGCCTGAACTATTTTTTTTAAATAAAAGAGAGGAGTCGGTGTTCTCTATTCGCGTTCATAAGAGGTGGGAGCGGACTTGGAGCGCCCCTCCGACATGCATTGCGTTATTGTGCGCCCAAAATCCACTCGTTGATAAGGTAAGCATTATTTTTGTGCTGTCTCACTAATAACCATTCTTCAGCGAAGACGTTTTGCCTAGATGTCGTTTATTAAGCTGATACAATGTCTTGTCTCGGAAGAAGGGCCGTGTTATCTCTGTAACGCAGACACACGGCCGCGTGACGTCATAATCTGCTTGTTGACGGCGACTGCGTGCAAGAGTGCTGTGCTCTCACCTTGTACATGCGATACATGAAATGAAATGCGCACGCAGCGTAAATATCCACAGGACGTGCAAGTCCGTTTGTCGACACAATTTCGTATTCGGGGGTTTGTTCTAAAACTTGTCCGGCGAAATACCGTGTTCTCAAGGATACGCGTAAAAGTGGGTCCATTATATAAAATACGGCTCTGTTCGAAACCTGTAACTTTGATTTGATGTAATGCACACTTCATGAAAGTACAAGGCAATTCGACTCGACGGAGATTTGCGAGATGGTCGAGTTGGGCTGCGTTTTGGCAGCAAACAAGAAATTTATTCAAGACGTTTACGTATTAGAATGACTTT